TTGATTTAAAGAAAGCATGTCATAAAGTTCCAACAGAAGTGCTATAGAGAGTATTTGAAAAGAAAGGAGTTAATAACGCTTATATTTAAATCATTAAAGATATATATGTAAGAGTTATTACTCGTGTTTAAACACAAGGTGGTTTGACTAAGTATTTTCCTATTTCTGTTGGATTAAATTTAGGATTAGCCTCAAGCTCATATCTTTTTGCTTTAGTCGTGGATGTTCTCACTAGACATTTATAATAGGATGTACCTTGGTGTATGCTTTTTGCTGATGATATTCTTCTTATTGAAAAGACTAGAGAGAGAGTCGAAGGTGAACTTGAATTATGGAGGTCAACCTTAGAGTCTAAAGGTTTTCACTTGAGTAGAACTAAAACTGAATATATGGAGTATAATTTTAGTAGTAATAGACCTAGTGAGGGGATTGTGACTTTGGGCGATCAAGCCATTAATAAGAGTACACATTTTCGATATATTTGATCTATTGTTTAGAGTGATAGTGAAATAGATGGGGATATTATCAGCATAATTCAAATTGGATGGTTGAAGTGGAGGAATGTCTCGGGGTTGTTGTGTGATAGAAAAGTCCCCCTCAAACTTAAGGGAAAATTCTATAAGAAGTGGTGAGACCTGCAATGCTTTTATGGTGTCGAATGTTGACCATTAAAAAAGAAGCATAATACTAAGTTAAGTGTTGTAGAGATGAAAAAAAAAAAGTGTTATAGAGATGAGGATGCTCAGGTGGATGAGTGGCTTTACATTTAGAGATAAGATACGAAACGAGCATTTTCGTGAAAAGGTTGGAGTAGCTCTAGTGGAAGAAAAGATTATATAGAGTTACTTTAGATGGTTTGGTCACATAAAATGGCAGCCTTTCGATGACCCGGCTAGGAAAGTAGATGTATTAGATTTGACTTATGTTAAGAAATGTAGAGATAGACCTAAAAAGACTTGGTTAGAAAATATTGGAAATAATATTTCTTTATTAGAATTAAACGAGAATTTGACTTTTAACAGGACACAATGAAGAAAATAGATTCATGTAGTCGACCATACATAGTGGGACAAAGGTTTGATGATGTTATTGTTGTTATTGTTGTTTTTATAGGTTTTCTTAAAAAAGCTAAAATTATTTATTGATTTTAGATTTTTTAAGAGAATTTAATTTCATTTTGCGTTTTTTACTTTTTACTCTTTTTTAATTTAATTTTAATTATCCTCTTATTGTTTAGTTAATCCTTAATTATATACTGTTAAAAATTTTGCATGGGTCTTCCGCATCTAATGATATCATCATGCACTTCTCACACTAGCTGAGAATTCTTTCGCGTTGATCACATGAATTGCACTATAATTCGCACCACTCCGCTGCATTTAGAGTCTTTGCCGTTTTCCTCCGTAGATTCCCAATGCTACTCCCTCCTTCCTTCTCTCTATTCTCCTTCTTCTTCTTCTTCTTCCTCTGGCTATCCACTTTCCCCTTATCCCACTCCCGTCTTCTCCCAATCATCAACGACCAGCTGCAAACCTACATTGTCCATGTCAAGAAAGCCCAGCTGCTCTACCATTCTCCCTCCGATCTCAAGAGATGGCATACTTCCTTCCTCCCCAACACCACCCTCTTCTCCGGCGAGCCCCGCTTACTCTACTCGTACCGCCACTCCATCACTGGCTTCGCTGCTCGCCTTACCCCTCAAGAAGCCAATGCTATGGAATCCATGGACGGCTTCCTCCTCGCCCATCCTGAACGCCTCCTTTTCCCCCATACCACTTACACCCCCAAATTCCTCAACCTTGACGAATGGACTGCCATCCGCGGAAGCGTATGGGAGAAGTCCTTCTACGGAGAGGGCGTCATCATCGGCGTGGTTGACTCTGGCATTTCCCCAACCCACCTTGCTTTCGACGACGAAGGCGTTCCGCCCCCACCGATCAAGTGGAAGGGCCAATGCTCCATTGCCGATTGCAACAACAAGCTTATTGGCGCGAAAGCATTCCGCAACGGTGATCGGAAGGCTTCTCCGATCGATTACGATGGGCATGGAACACATGTCACAGGAATCGCTGCAGGGAACTTTGTAAGCCATGCCGATGTCGGTGGAATGGCCAGCGGAAGGGCATCGGGGATGGCCCCCAAAGCTCACCTTGCAATCTACAAAGCCTGCTTCGAAGGGCAATGTAGGGATAGCGATGTATTGGCCGCTGTTGATCAAGCGATTCATGATCGAATCGATGTTTTGTTGATCCCTCTCGGAGGGATCCCCCTTCCTTTGTATGAGGATAGTGTAGCCGTTGCCTCCTTTGCCGCGGTTGGGAATGGTATCGTCGTCTGCACCTCAGTTGGAAATGGCGGACCGAGAGTTGGCGAGATCAGCCATGAGGCTCCCTGGTTGGTGGCCGCAGGAGCCAGCACCATCGATAGAAGGGTTAGAGCAGTGGTGAGGCTGGGGAACGGAGTGGATCTGATGGGAGAAAGCGCATTCCAGCCGCCGAGCGACGAATTTCCTCCCATCTTCCTGCCCCTAGCTTTCCCGGGCATAGACGGCGACGCGGCCGCTGCGAATTGTCACAGCCGTTCCCTGGCGGATCTCGATCTCAGGGGAAAGATTGTTCTCTGCTTCGCTGACGACGGGGATAACACCGGCAAGACCGGCGCCGTGAAGAACGCCGGCGCGGGCGCGGTGATAGTGATGAACCGGCGGAGCCATGGATTCACTACGCGCTCCGAGATGCACGAGCTGCCGGCGTCACACCTGAGTTATTTGGACGGTCGGCGCCTGAGGAGCTACGTATACTCGACATCAACGCCGGTGGCGGCGATTGTCTTCAACGGCACGGTATTCGGGGCGCGGCCGTCGCCGGCGGTCGCCGCGTTCTCCTCGCGAGGGCCGAGCTTGATGAACGGTGGGGTGCTGAAGCCAGACATTATCGCTCCGGGAGTGAACGTTCTCTCCGCGTGGCCGCCGGTGGCCGCCTCGCCACTGTTTGGATTCATGAGTGGGACATCTATGGCAGCGGCTCATGTCGCTGGCGTCGCTGCTCTGGTCAGAAGGAGGCACCCCCGTTGGTCCCCGGCGATGATCCACTCAGCTATCATAACATCAGCGACAAGCCAAGATCTTGATGGGCGTAAGGTCTTCGACGAATTGTCTTACAACAGTTCGGCGAGCCTCTTCGCTTCCGGGGCTGGGCAGCTGCACCCGGAGGGAGCGCTTAATCCCGGTCTAGTGTATGATATCGAGCAAAAGCATTACTTACACTATCTATGTGGATTGGGCTACAACAACTTGCAGGTTGAAAACATTAATTCAACAAAAGTTTTCATATCATATTTTTTTAGGACATTTAGATTAATTAAGATAAATTCACACACATTACAAATAAAACAAATCGAACTCAAAACCTCTAGATTGATTGTCAAAGCTATGCAGCTATTCTTGATTTGTTGGTTGGGAGTTTGGCTATCAATTAAGAGATATTAGGTTCAAATCTCATTTGTGTGCTTGTGTGAGAGCTCTAAGGGCATCTCCAACCGAAAATCTCATTTTTCACTCCAAAATGCAATGAAACTAAAAAATAGCGTGAGTCAAGAAAAATAGCGCATTCCTTCGGCATTTTGACGTTCCAGGTAACCGTCTTTCTCATCCGCATGTTCCTTCGGCAAAACCTATAGAGACAGAAAAATAGCGAAGGTGAACAGTGCAACGCCAATATTGGCGTCGCACTGTTCACCCGCAATCAAATACCGGAAGTTTTGCCGTTCGGCTGGAGCTCCCGAGCGATGCCATTCATGCATTTGGAGTTCGGTTTGAGAAGGCCTAAGTGTATAATTCTTGAGTTCCATACTCTCTAATCATCATCTTAATTATGCATAATGCAATAAACTTTGGTGCAGATGTGGGCTATCGCAAAGCAATTTGTTTCATGCAACAAGAGCATGGAGCCAGCAGAGGAGTTGAACTACCCTTCAATCTCAGTCAGATTGGGATCGAGCTCAGAGAAAATTGTTGTTCGAACAGTGAAGAGCGTGAGGAAGAGGAGCACTGTGTTTTGGGCAAGAATTGAGGAGCCGAAAGGAGTGAGAATGGACCTATCACGTTATGAGCTCAGCTTCTCAAGGGTCAATCAGGAAGAAAGTTTTGAGATAAAATTTAGCATCCAAGGTCGCAGGCCAAGACAAGGCCATGTTTCGCAAGGGAGGCTCTCCTGGGTTTCAAGAACACGTGTTGTGAGTAGCCCTATCTTAGTTACTTTTGTTTGAGAGTTATAGGTTTCGGATTATTTTCTTACTGCTTTATAAATAAGATTTTTAGTTCAAAATTTTCTCGTTCAAAATAGAAAAATTATAAAAACTCGATTTGAGCTATTTTTAAATGTAGAGAAAGTATAAATTTTGGGTATTTCTAATCCCTCATAATTAAATATAGAAGAAATAAATACATTAACCTACTAATGCAACTAACCAAACAATCTTTAATATCATTTATGCTTGTGAATGCATGAGTTGTGTTTGCTAATTAATATGTGGTGAATCTATGAGCTTTGAGCATTTCCATGGAATTTTTATTAGGTCCGGTGTCCTGACGTAGCTCTACATTCGGACGCCAGTAAAATGGTGTCACGTGCTCTTACTCTTTACCACGCGGCCCGACGACCCGACCTGGATCGGACCCAGGATTGCTATGTATTGGCTTATTTGTGCATATTGGGGTATTTCTAGGTATTGCTCGATATTGTTCGGCAATAACGAGAAATATCATTCTGTGAAGACCAATACCTAGCAATACCCCGGTTTTGCTAGGTATTGCTCGGTATTGCTAGGTATTGCTCGGTATTGGTCTTCACAGAGCAGTATTTTTCGTTATTGTCAAGCAATACCTAGCAATACCAAGCAATACCTAGCAATACCGAGTAATATATAGCAATACGCAAACATAGCAACCCCAGGTTTCGGTGCAAGTCGGGTCGTCGGGCTGCGTGATAAAAAGTAAGAGCACGTGGTGACTTACGTCAAGGCACCAGACCTAATAAAAATTCATTTCCATGGGTGTAATCATATGAAATAGATTAATGCTATGTATTTTCTCTTGCAGCCTTAAAAAGTCTTAATGTGTTGACAATTGAGTTGACATAAAAGCATTTGGTACAATGCATAATCGTGCATAACTTTTAGCCTTTTACCATCTCTAAATCTCTGTGGCATCGAATGAAAACTTTTTTAGGCCGATGATCAAAGATATTAAATGTTTATAAAATTAATATTCATATCATTTTTTTGAACTATCGAATTTGTGTTTTTGTAAATGACATAATAAAATTATTGGGAATTAAAAAAATGAAAAAAAAAATACGAGTTAGATGTTTGCTATGAATTTGATATTTATATACAACAACATCCAACAAGTGGGCCTAAGTTAATTTTTTTTAACTTTTCCTCAACTTTTTACTTCTAGTATTGGGATCAAAGTAGGAAGTTTTAAATATTTTTTTCAAATTATTAATTAAGAAGGAAGAATATTAAATATAAAATAATGAACAATTTACAAGAAAAAAAACTTTGGTAGTATAGAAAAATTAACTTAGCTACTTGAATAGTAAAAAAAAAAAATTTCCTCTACAAAAAAAAAAATTGAAAAATAGCTAGAAAACATTATAAAAAAAAATATATAATTATTGTCTTAATATTAAAGCAGATAGAAAATTGTTCCAAACAAATTTCTAATTATTTTAAATTTTTTTAAAAAAATAATATTAACATCAAAATTATATGATATTTTACAAATTAAAAACATATCAGCAGCACTCCATTATGTATTAACATTCAATATTATATAAAAAATTATATTAAAGTTTATCAATCTAATTATATAATATTTATAAAAGTTAATATAGGCATAACAACAATTAGAGAGAGAGAGAGAGAGAGAGAGAGGAGAGAGAGAGAGAGCATAATATGGAGTTCCCTAGAATTTTAGGGGGCAGCATGCCTCAAAAAATTGAAAAATTATATAATAAATAAATATATAATAATAATATATATATATATATATATTATTATATATATATATCCTAAAAAAATCACAGAATATTCCACTAAAAAAGGAGGGTTACACAAGTTGTAACAAACCGCAAAGAAAAAGTACAAAGAAACACAAGGGTGACAACCCAGTAGGCTCAGTAAACGCAGAGGCTGCTAACCCACCTAAGCTAGTACGGGCCCATCCAGTATGGAATGATGAGCAGTAACACCAAGTAGCCACACAACAGGTAAGAAAAACAACCACCAAAGGTTGCCCACGAGCCACGGCTTAAGATAAATGAGCTCTAGCCACATCAGTTGCCCTCAATCTATAATTCACAACCGTAATATTGTCGATAGTTCCAGCAAAATTGCAGCCACCAAAACTAAATGCCATTCCAACAAGATCAGCCCAAACAATCCCAAGATAAAGCTCGATGAGACAACCATAAATTCGCCACACTATAATCCACCAACAGGCTAACACCAAAAAAATAACATCTTAACCAAAAGAGTAACACAACCACAACAAAAACCCATCATTATTTTTTTGGCCATGCCTTACCTCCTACACGAGAGGGTACAGAGACAACAAGATGATCATTACGCATAACAAGAATCCTCCCGCAGGTTCTTCCTCCTCACTAGCCTCCGAAGAGGAATCAATGCGAGGCTGAAGCTAATCAATTTGCATCTCACATTCTCCGCCACTTGGGCAAACAATGCCTCAGGGAGAAATATAATTAACAAGCAACGTCAACAAAGCTCTGGGTATAATAACAGTAAGCGTGACAGGGGATTGAAATTAAAGACAGCCCACGCAGCAAGCAGAGGAATCCACCGACCAAATCATAATGACATCAAGGTGGAGAGACCAGAATGAAAAGCGAGCCGAAGAGTCCAGGGACTTCAATTCGATTCAACTCACAGGTAGCACAATCCTCACCCTTCGAATTAGGGCCACAACCAAAGGGGAAAAAACACCTTTGGGAGGGGGGGAGGGGGGTGCCGCGACAAAATTAGAGAGTCCAAATTATTAACCGCACCACTCAACAGGAATAGCCAAAGTGCCGCGCATAACCTCACCAGAGAATAGGGGGAGGAAATGAAGGGGGGAGGTAATTGTCAGCTAAATGTATCGCCAATAGTCAACAACAAACCATATCACAATTCCCCAAAACATTATTAGCACGCAGGATTATAACCAGGATTAGTTCCAGAATTATCTTTTAACTACAATATTTGGAGACCAGCACTAAAAACCAATCGCTAAGATACAGGAGCGTGAATCAACAAAGAACACATCCAGGCAGAGGGACGCACCCCCCACCCCTCCTATCAGAACGAAACAGAGGAAGATGGCTTAAGGGGGACCTTAAGAGGGACACCAACTTTGAACTTACATTCCCCCCTAGCATGACCAAAAGACTAACAAAGAGCACAAGACGGGGGGAAAACCTCCATCTCAACCTTTTAGATCTAGCCAAGCTTCTCAGAGCCAATCTATACAAGGTCCGAAAAGTTTGTAGTTATATCAATCTCAACCAAAACTCTCGCTATAGAAGGCCTCGACCCGAAGTGGCAGAATCGATCTTGAGCGGGTGACCAAAGATAGATCCTAAGGCATGGAGAATTCTGAGGTTAAAGAGGTGAGGGCAAAGATTAAGGAAAGAGATCCATATTGGAATAATCAGGCATTCAATAGAGATATCCAAAAAGGAGTCCATTTCGTTAATTTCATATAACAATTGTAAACTAGATACGAGTGATGACGAAAAACCCGACTGTAATCAAGGTCATTCGAAAGCTTAACCAGAATATACAAAGAATCAATCACATTGATAGAGAAATCAGTTATACGTTTCAAATTGGAAAAAATCTCCTTATGGTGTCTAAGCTAGGTCGCTAGGCATGAAAAAAACCAACGAGCAAAAATTGAAAGGGAGCCGCCAAAGCCCTAATTTCATCTTCATATATCCACAGTAAAGTCATACCACGGTAAGATGAAGACTTAAGCTATGGGAAACAAACACTAGACAGAAAACCAACTAAAGTATCGGTGAAAGACCGCGAGAAATTGAAACCAGATGAAAAACCAGGGTCCAACAGGCGCTTCGGCGCCATAAGGCACCAAAAAACTTGAAGAGACCAAAGAATGAAAGAGACAGGGAAAAGAGAGAACTCCCCTGAGCAAATTGGCGGTGAAGGACACCGAGGGCATGCACCCAGCAAACCCTAGACGGCAGGAAGATGCCCAGACGCGAGCTAATCCTATGGCTATAACCTTGACTACTTATATTATGTTGTCCTTGATTAAAGGATTGATTGTTAGCCATTGGATAAATATTTATATGGTTGTAACCTTGACTACTTATATTATGTTGTCCTTGATTAAAGGATTGATTGTTAGCCATTGGATAAATATTTATAGTATGTTGAGAAAGATTATATATGCATGGTGTCAAGCTATTATGTTTTAGAAAATTTATGGTTGTAAAGTATGTGTTTTATATCTTAGCTATATACAAAAATTTAGTAGACATAGATTAAATTAATGAAAGATCATGATTTTTTTAAGTGGAAACTCATTGATGAGAAAAACCATAGTGCCTAATTCTATTGCAATGATCTCCTAAATAATGTAAGATATATGAATTGTCTCTTCCTCATAACTAAAGAAGATAATATTACACAATTGATAATCATTATCTATTTTTATTTGGACTAAGATTGAATCCTCTATGATATAGATGGGTTCATCTAGTTGAGAAGTTTAATTCTACTCTAAATTTGATGAAATATGAGTTCATATGATTATAAATTTTATTTCAAAAGTTTTCAATTAAATATTAACTTGATATTTATGTTGATCAAGCAAATTTTTTGGATATATCACTCATAAATCTTTTCACACAATGAGTGGATGGATAAAATCTAATAAAGGCATGTGTCATAACTCGACCCGATATGACCCAAAATTGCACAGGTCATACCATGCCCGATTGTGGGAAGACTCGAATCCCAAGAATCAGTTGGCGAAGTACTGAAACAAAATAACTAGAGTTATATATTGTTTGGAAATATATCAGTATTCATAAATCTTTTCACACCATGAGTGGATGGATAAAATCTCATAAAGGCCTGTGTCACAACTCGACCTGATATGACCAAAAACTGCACAGGTCATATAATGCCCGATTGTGGGAAGACTTGAATCCCAAGAATCAGTTGGCAAAGTACTAAAAAAATAACTAGAGCTATATATTTTTTTAAAAATAAAGTACTAGTAAAAAATAAATCTATTGATCAAAATATCAATATACTTATGAGTTCATTACCCAAAAATCATATATAACATTCAAGAGTTATATAAATATAACATACTATCTGCCAACTCATGAGCTTAAAAGAATAACTAAAAA